GTCTTAGATTCTGTGACATCTACCATTATATTGTGTCAGACTTCGGGCATACAAGGGCAAAACCAGACCAGAGATGCAGCAGAAATGTCTTGCTGACTCATGGTGGGGGAGGAAAAGAACAAAACCAATAACCTACATACAAATTTTTCACAGTGTGTTTTTTCTGCCCTGCCACTCAATCTTCAAAAGAGCATACAACCCTTTGATGTCCCAAGCTCCCTGATCCCAAGCAAAATGTTTCTGCCAATTATTGCTTTCAAACTAGACTGCACAATGTGGTTGTCTTCTTATCACCTTGACTAACCTAACAATTCTCCACTCATTCTAATTCTTTATTTGAAGCTTGAAGAATCACTTTCTTGGCCTTCCCTCTTTCTTGATTAAATAAAACTTAGGTTTAATGTTAAAGGTGTAAAGTCTAGGCATAACCAAATATCTCCTCCCCTAAAAGAAGCTTGATCACAAGGCTAGAGCCTCCAACTCATTAGGAAGTAAAATAATGTCATGCTGCTTGGTGCATTATTATATAGTGTATGTATCATGTAATGAATGCTTCCTGGTCTGCTGCTCATGCACAGTAAAGATGGAACAAACTGACTACCCAGCTTAAAGTAAATCTAGAACCAAGGCTCATATAATGTCAGCACATGAATTTCTCAAAGGTTAATCTTCTGCAGGCAGTGAGAAAAGTCCTAGCTGCTCACTGTCACAGGGAAATTTCTTCCAAGTCTGAAGAAGGAAAAATCTACAATGTGCATATCTGGACAGTGCCAGTTATACAATTTGCCAGAGTACTGTCCTTTACCATCCTATTTCAGGCCTTTTTTTATGGAGGTAAAAGCAAGAATAAATGCTGAAAGACTATTTCTTAATTCTACAGTCCAAGCATTTATCATTATAATTTTGGATTCAAACCCGTATCCTAAATTAAAGCCAACAACTGCTGATTCCCTAATATGATATCTATTGCCAGCATTGCCATTTGTTTCTCTTGGATCCTAAATGGGTCACTTCACTTTGCATCTTTACCTAATTTTTAAATATGATTATAAAGATAACTTAAAAACTACATATGACCTCAATATCAGAGATATTGACCTTAATACACTGACCTGTTAGTAAAGAACCCAAACAAAGTTCTCATTTCCAGGACTTCCAAAGGAGGAAAATTTGGCAGAATTTTTCTTTGACTGCTAAATCCCCCACTGCCTTTTGAAGGAATCAAAGTCCTGTTCTGAAAGCAGCTTGTCTGACCCCAAAGCACCTTTTCTTTCCTACCTTTAATGGTCTAACTATGTCTTTTGAAGGACTCCAACAGATGTTTTTGAAATGGAGTAACATTTCCAGAGAATAGCGTTTCAACAGTTACACTCAGTGATAAGCCTTCCAACTCTTTATTTTTTAATTCTTATAACATTCCTATTTTCATGGTCCCCCCTCTAACTTCCACATTGCCATCAGGGCCAGAATTGCTCTAATAATTCACACTGACATTACAGATACCATTAAGTCTACATACTTCAATGAAATTGCCTCTTTGCTGTCTCCTTTATGGCTTATAAAGATTCCTCATGGCTCACAAAATCCTATTTTGTTGTGGAATCTGTTGCATTGTCCTCCACAAACCATATCCAAGGCTAAAGTGATTTTTTCCATGAATCCTCATGCTGATACCCAATAAGTATTGCACAGAACAATGAATGCTTTTTATTTCCTAAATGTTGGCCTCTTGTGCAATTCACTCCTGGATGTCACTGTAATTCAGTTCTGATTCTCAGTAGTGAGCATAAATACAGGTAAACAGTAATCGTTCAATGTAACCATATGGAATATTCATGAAAACTGATTCTGCAAGAATGAACATTCACGACCATCTGTCATGACATGGAAAATAAAAGGAAAGTGCAGCTTTTTCAGTGTTCACCATGATCATATATTTTTTTCTTCATTCTTTACCCACTCCTGAAGGATCAGGATGATCTTGTATTCACCCAAAATGAGTGATAATCAATCTGAGGTAGTTCAGATCTCCTTAGCCACTACTGCAAAGCAGATGAGAATGAAGGTGAGAATTCCTGAGTGCAGCACAAAGTGACTGGATATTGCACCAATGTAAGGTCTTCGCTACTCAGTGACAGAGGTGACTGCAGAGATATTGGGCAGAGGAAACCCAGAACTGTAATTTCCAGAGAACTGGAATCAGGTTTTCCCTGGGCACCTCAAAACCTGAAAATTATAATACTGAAATTTAGGAGTGTGATGTAATTAATTGGCATTAAAAAAATGATGCATTAAGAGTATATGTTTTTTGAATAGTCACAAATACAGGAGAAACAGATTACTACTATACATTTTGATAAGGTGAATATTTCATTCACTGCTTAACCCTTCCCTTCCTTTCCCTTCCCTTGGTTTTTAATATTACAGAAATAACTCTAAAAATTTCTTCCTTAAATAACATAATGGGCTGATCACTAACTCATTTTCCATTCACAGTGCAACGAGACCTGGAAATGTTGGCTGTGTAAATCAGCTTGTGTACCTAGTTTATAACAAGACCTATATTTGGAGGCATGTAACATAGGCTCCAATCATTACTTGAAGGTCAATCACTAGATGCTTTAAAGCATCAAAAACCAAATGGGTTTTCTTCTTTTAGATTAGAAAGTTTAAATTTAAACAGTTATTAAAAATGCAGTCTGTTATTCTCAAAATGAAATAGAGAACAGTGTTATCTGAAAACCAGAGAGTAGAAGGATAAATTAGATTTCTGAAGGGTCTTCCATTTTAATAATCCCGTATGTTTTTAGTAACAGAGGTATATATTTTTTACACTGTCATTTTTATCTTAACAATTCTCCTTTAATCTATTCAGTTCTGTCTCTCTAGCCTTGGCCTTTTTCCTCCCACTCTGAGGTTTCGTAATGCTTTTTCAGTCATTATCTTTTCACCTAGATAATCCCTCATTTTGCAGTTCTCAGGAGCAGTGCCTCAGCTGAAAGTCTAATCCTGGCTACTGCCTGTAATGGCTCCCCAGGATGAGTAATCATCTGAGCTATTTGACATCCACTTTTGTTGACCTTACTAGGACAGCAGAAGGATAGCATTTTGTGCCTCCTTTACCAGCTGTGTCTTCCTACATAAAATCCTGAAGGCTTGTATGGTATAAGCAGCAGTGGCTCCCAGAAACCAGAGGAGTCTTTAGGTTCATAAATGAAAAATATCATTAAACAGGAAAGAATTATTCACTATTGTCTTCCCACTCAGGACACATGAACTGGACTTTTTTAAAATCAGTACATGTTGTCATTCCATTAGTGATCAGGCGTGGTACCTACTTCAGTTTCTTCCCAAGTAGCATCCATGCAGAACAGTCTGGCAAAGATGCAATTTGCTTTTATCCTTTAACACAGAACTCCATACGAATTGTTAATCCTCATGAGCCACCACAGTAACATTAACTTTTACAAACAAAACTTATCCTCCCCAAAATCCTTCCACAATTCCTTTCCATTGTCTTTTATTGATACCTTTGTAAATGTCATTTTTTCAAGTGTTTTCTATGCAGAAAGTGTTTCCAACACTACATCTATAGCCTATGCAATATTTGTTTCCTGTACCCTGACAATCATCCCATGATCACTTGTTGCCGCAGCGCCAGATCTGCAATTCTTACGTACTGGACTGCAGAATATCTCTGCTCTGAATTACAGAGAGGGAACAAAACCAGGCTGGCCCCACCTATAATGTCAGAGCACAGCTACAGTTTCCTTATGCTCCAAAGTGTGAGGGCAAACATTTATTATTCATATGAGTCTTTGGTGAATGTCTCTTTGCAAGAAGAGCAAGGGATTTACCCATTCAGAAACATGGGAATTCATTATATTTTTCACTTATTTTAATCCTCTCCCTTTTCCTGCTTATAAAGGTTCAGATTTTTAATAAGGCTTTTTATTTTAGAAAGGACAGAAACAACATTCCAGGTCACTTAAATGATCTGTTGTATGTCATTAGCAGCTGAAACAAGTGCCCTGAAGGTATCTGTCAGAAGCAAAAACTGTGCAGATTGTTGGACATAATATTAGAAAACTAAAAAATTTTAGTGAGATCAGGGACAGCTAATGAGCAGCCATGACTGGGAGAAAAGGAACATGTCATTAAAAGTAAAGTATCAAATAATTACTTTAATTCTTACTACATGTTTTGAAATATATTGTAAGAAGGAAATCTCCATGAAGCTATATACCAGATCCTCAGGTATGTAACATAAAATCTCTGCTTAGCTAATGAGTTGAAGCTGTTTATTAAAATTTACTAACATGCTTTTGATAGTCAAAGTCACCAGATAAAATCAGGACTTTGTTAATCTCAGTTGATTTTATAAACCAAACAAAAAGAAATCCTGGGAAGCTTTTTCAAGGGGCATGTATGAGTACTCTGACTTAGAGATGCTCATTATCTTCTGGGACCAGATACCAATCAGTTGTAGAAGAGCAGAAATACAAATGGTAAGAAGAAAGGGAAATCAACTCTCTCTCCCTGTCTTGGTGCCCAGGAAAGCACAGTGGCAGCTCTGCAGAGGATAAGGACAGCTTTCTTCTCTGAAGCCTGAAGCACTGCAGTTGGTTCTGAGGGGTCCCAGGGGCTGCCCAGGCCAGAGTAGTCCTGCTGCCCAGGGGCCCCCCAGGACAGCACACAGCAGAGATATAGTGCAGCATGGAGGTGGCTGGTGGAAGCAAGCTGGTGCTTGTCCATTGCAGATAGAAGAGTGAAAGAAGCAGCCACATGGAGCCATCTGAACCCTCTGTGGGTGATAAGTTACAGCTGTGCTGGGCCAGGAGACCCTCCAGGGGCACCAGCTGAGCCAGCCCTCATCACTGACGTGTCCTGGCTCTGTGCCAGGCACCAGGAGAGCTTATGGCTGGAGTAATCCCTACAGGGTGAGCTGCTGGCCAGCAGGAAGTAAACCACGAGATATGGCCCTAATATTTGGAAAATTCTCTGTAAGTTACATTTACTGGGCATGCATCACCCAGGTAAGGGTAGGTATGCTGTCAAAGGATTGATGAATCCTTGTCCCAAAAATGACAAGGACCAGGGGTGCTAGGGATGCCTGAGGTACCATATCTGCTGTCAGTGCATGGGGTGCCAACCCTGTCTGAGGTGTCCAGGCTGCAGGGAAGGGCTGCTCCTACATGGACAGCTGGCATGGGTTGCCTGAGCCTGGAAGGAGAGGTAGGAACAATTGCCATGGGTCACCTCCAACCTTGCCCCCAGGCTGCAGCAGTAAGAGTTGATTCTTACCCTGAGGATAGAAGGCTTCAGGACAGACAAAAGGTGATAAAACGCCTCCAGGACATCAGGGAGGCCCAGGGGCTGCTCACTGGAAGCCACAATGCTGGCTGTGCCATGGTCTATTTTGTCTGTTTCGTTGTTTGCTATGGACTCTCTGGGGTTGCAGGCTCTGGAATTCTGTTGGGAGTCTCCTAGGAGGAATTTCAGGGTTCCCAGTGTTCTGCTCCACCCCCAACAACCTCTTTTAAATGGCACAAATTTCATTTGGAGTGATTATACTAATGGAGAGCTTAAGTGCCTCCAGAGAAGTGAAGACTGAGCAAATGTAAGTGCATACATTATTCTATAAATACCTATTATACTATTTACTCAATTTTGCTAGTAGTAGGCTAGTTAGGGCAGTTAGACAGTGCCTGTGAAATGCTCAGTAGCTGGAGCTGAACTCATAGCTTAAGAGCCATGGTTGGACGATGCAGAGTTTGCTGTAACATGGGTGATGCTGCCAGCTGTCAGAAATTTGTAAGAGAGCAATGGATCACCAAGAAAGTGCAGGGGAGTTCTATACCTACTGTCTAAAATTGAATTCTTCTTTCCTCTGTTAAAGATAGCAGAGATGCCTGTTTAATTCTCTTTTCCCTCTTTTCATTTATTCCATTTAGTAAGTAGATGGGTTATACTTTCTCAGTGAACATTACGTCAGCTTTGACATGTTATGCATTTTATGAGATGGTATCTGTCTTTAATGGGCACAATGAATTTGATTCTGTCTTGATCTATTTTACCCAGGTGATTTATGTGGTGATGACCCAACATCTAAGTCATGGATCTGACAAGAAATCTGTCTCACTGGGGCAAATATGGGCCAACTGATAGTCGCAGGCAAAAATCTGGGTTAGTATCAGATGTCCTGCCAGGTGGTAAAGCACTCAAAACTCTCCAATCCGTTAGTATCCCTTAGCTCAACACCAGTACATTTACAGTAAAGCCCTGAGCAGAATGGGTATTTAACATGATCTTATCTATACCAAAACTGCAGGACGGGTTAATTTCTAAAAAATTGATGTAACTCAACCCTCCCAAAAAAGGATTGAAGTCTCATGCAAATAACCCTCTAAAGTACTTTCACTCATACAGTCTACTCAAGGTTACCATTAAAGCAGTAAGTCTTCCTCAGCTTTTTCAACCATTCACAATTTGATGATACCACGAATTCATGAAAATAATTTAGGCCTTAGTGACACAAAACTGATTTCTGCCAAAGAGAAAATAATTTTTTTTAATGACACCTTTACTATTCCCTTGTTATCAGAATCTTCCAAACCTGAAATACAAAATTCAGGTTTTTAATTATGGGGTATTACAGATAAGGCATAGGTTTCAAAAGTCTTTCTTTTAAGACAATTTTTTTACAGGGTTTCTTGTCTCTTTAAACAGAGGTGTCTTTTCATCTAAAATTCTTTTTTTGGGTCTGCTTTCTTTTAAGTCTTGCTGAACTATTTGTATCCATTTATCTCTGTAAGACCCATTATGTTCAGAAAATTAAACAGCTTGCAACCAGCTTTTAGATTTCAAAATCCATTCAGCAGGGAAAAGGCTGAATACTATAAAGAACAGGGAAGGTGTACATGATCCATTTTTTCCTGTTGACAATGACATCTACAGCAGCAGCACTCCACTTTTCTTTCCATCTTTACATGACACTGTAATTTTGTTATGTCACAAATCATAGTCAGGTTACTAGTAGTTAGTGATTTGTGGGAAATACACTGTCCTAGTATAGCAACTAACATGGGATTTCCTGAGAATAGAAAGAGACTTTTTTTTTCCTTTGATTTTGCTTCATACATTTTATTGCTGAAGGTATGCCAGTGACCAATGACTGCTGAATACTGCCCCTTGTCAGGGAACAATTCAGCTTCAAGAAAATCTCTGGAGACCATCTGGTACAAATTTCTGCTCAAAGCAGGGTCAGTATATTTAAAATTCTCCAAGAACAAAGAATGGATTTTTTGGGGGCTATTCTGACAAAAAAGACTTTTTACACTGTAGAAGACATTCTAAACTTAGTGGAAAGACCCCTTTCGGGCAAAATTAAACAGATACTTGAGAATCCCTTAGTGCTTTTACTACTTTCCCTATTACTCCTTCTTCTCAGCCTTCCCCTTCCACCAGGACCAATCCGAAAGAAGTGTTCTGGGGAATAAGTACTAGTCAGCACCAGGCCACCCATGGGCTGCTGCCGAGGCTTCTGCAGGCAAAAAGCCTAATTCTTTATGCACTTTTAAGAGAAGTGATCTTCCCAACCCTCCCAATGCTCTGGTTTTTAGACTGATAGTTCAGGCTCACTAATTTATCTACTGTAGTTTGTCCACTTTAGCTTATCCAAAATAACTAACAGCCTCTTTGCAACAAGACAAAATGTGAAAATGTGAACAACAAATGAAAATGTAGGCTTATAGACCTGACTTGGGTTGGAAACCAGCTGAAACCAGCACAGTACCTTTAAAGATCACTTAGTTCCAAGCCCGCTGCCAGGCACAGGGACAATTTCGACTAGATCAGGTTGCTCAAAGCTCCATTCAAGCTGGTACTGAACACTTCCAGAGATAGGACAACCACAATTTCTCTGGACAACCTGTTCCAGTGCCTCACCACCCTCACAATAAAAATATTCTTCCTTGCTTCCATTCTAAATCTGCCTCTATCAGCTTAAATTGTGTTGCCTTTTGTCCTGTCACTACCAGCCTTGGTAAAAAGTGCGTGTCTTTCTTATGAGACCCCCTTTTGTATTGAAAGGTCACAATAAAGTCTCCTTGGAGCCTTCTCCTCTTCAGTTGAATGCAATTATTTAGCAGAATTTTTAAAGAAAACCGTAAGCAGTAGGATCCAAACAAACCAGTGAATTCAAGTCAAATTTCAGGAATATAGATTTGAAATGACCTATGTAATGCTGCATCAAAATTTCACATGGCAGACTCTGTGTATGGTTACACTTTAAACAAGATTGGTTAAAAATACTTTCTAAAGACATTAAAGAGAATGTAACCACTCTAGCAAAAATATGGATCAGCCTAATATGTTGTCCTTCTCCCCTCTCCTCTCAGTACCCTCCAACACTGTCAAAATTATGTAAACTAACAAAGAATTCATTCTTTAAGAAAGACAAAACTATGCTAAACCAGCTGCTGAAGAAATGGACTAGAATAAAAAGTAGCATATTGTTCAAAAAAATCCACATGAAAATCTTTTAAAATAAACTTTAAAATAGTATTTAATATAAATCCTTAGGCAAAGGGATGATGCAGAACACAGCAGGAAACACTATTTTATACTATGGAGAGCAGAAAAAGTAGTCTAGAATCTCATTACAGGTTAGTGAAGAAGTTCCACGACCAATATTGTCCCTGCTTCTTTAAATGAATTTTAAGAAGTCACAGGTACTCCTTGCCTCAGTTTACCACACCCCTCAGAAAACACCATGCATCAAAGCAGGTGACTTCAAAAGAAGACTGTCATAGCGTATGGGTTCTATACTGCTGATAAAAAAATCACCGTGTTTTGTTGAAAAGGGTTTCAGCAGTGCACAAAAAACTTAGAGATCAGTTTTCTTTCAAAAATGGAAATGACAGACAATAAATCACATGAAAAAAAAAAAGGGAAGAAATTTTGACTTGAAATGTTTAGTCTTTTATTTTTAGCAACATGCCTGCATAGACCGGTTGCTGCTATTTCATTACACTTCCATATGATAGGAGCAAATAAGGAAATCTACAATGCAGCAGCATTAACATGGACACTTTAGTAGACAAAGATAAGAAGCTCCTAAACTCCCAGCTTGTTTAGTGAACTCACCCTGGAGGAAAGCACTGCTTCTATTGAACTGGCCAATCAGGGGACTGATATATCAGACAGAGAATACTGAAAGTCAGTGAAATCAGCTGTGTAAATGGAAATCTCTACGTCTTCATCAAGATTTTTTAAAAATCAGTACTTCTTTATCTTCACACACCTTAGTAAATAGAAAGTATTTCAAAAGTACTGAGAAACCAGAAATCTTCCACTAGGGAAAAGTCTGATGCTTAAATAGAGATCCTAAATTTCCCTATTTTTCAAAGATGTCTTTGATGATTGAGGAATACGAAGAGTTACTTTTTAAGTAAAGAAAAGCAATGGTACATTCAGTAAAACTGAAATGCAGCAAGTGCTAAATAAAATAAACAATACAATAGTTTGGTTTTATCACACTGCATTGTTAACTACGGTACTCAGTGCCACAAGAAATCACTGATGCCAAAAGCATAGGACTCTAAGTTGGACTTCACATTTATGTGAAAAACCACAACATTAACAATCATATTGAACAGTAAAAAACCCCAAACTTTAAAGTTTTATAAGCCTTCATGCATCAGTAAACAAGCAAATCTTTAACTGTTGAAAATTAGGAAGAAGTCTTCCATGTGAACAAATTGTTCCATAATTGCCCACCTTGGGGTTTCCTGTGCATCTGATGCTCGCTATAAGCCAAGAAATGGATGACAGGCCTGAGTCATAATGGCAATTCTTACTCTAGAAAGTAGTGTAACACTTTTTACTTTTAGAACTTCATAAACTTAGGATGTGAAATCTATATCACAGATGTTTTACCTGTAAAAACCAAGTGCTAGTGATTGATCTCAGCCCTCCATGGCAGCATTAGTCATATATAGATTAACTATCCCTTTGGTCAGGGTTAATTACCTCACCAGTACCATCCAGTAATATCAGTCTCAGCAATCTAGTGTTACTTTGTAGCCCAGCATTATGACATAGCTATATCATAGCTGACAGGCTTTGATAGATCACAGGCTTTATAAGTTAGGAAGGTCTAAGGGCTATGGCTTGCTAGGCTGATTCTTAACTCTTTCTGACCTTCCTGTTGCTTTGCTTTCCTTGATTTTGTTGTAACAGTAACAGACTTGGCACTGGAGACCACATGGCTGTAAACAACCCACCAATGCTTAAAGAAGTTAAAAAAGGCAGATCTAGAAATGGACAAAACTGGTGTTAGAGCTAACAGAGAGAAGAAATTGTATCTAAACCACATAAAGTGTCATATATAGTAAATTCAGATGTATTGTGAAGCT